GCGTGATGAAAACATAGCCGATGATGGGAAGAATGGATGCGCGTCATGACTTGAAAGAGATTGGAGTCAGTTGGGCATGCATCGCACGAGCCCGGAAAGCGGCGTTGAGAGGATTTATCGCGAAGGTTACGCGAGACGGCAAGACAGTTCCGAATAGAATGTGGGGCTGGGGAATTTATGATGCATCTGAACGCCGTCGCAGGCGCTGCTTGGCATGAAACAGACCAAATCGAATGTACAGGACAGTTGCTGCCCATTGCTGGCGCAACGAGGCACTACACGAGGGTCTATAGACAGGTAGTCAGTGACGTGCAATGCATACACGCAGAAAAAGGCGCGTACACATTGTCAGAATGGTCACCGGCGACTGAGAATTGTTGCTGTGGCGACCGCCCGTCGCCCGACTTCTCAGAATCACCATCGAAGCCTGACGACCTCGCCGACGATTCGTGTTTTTTGGAGGTTCGTCGGAGGATGTTGCTGTGGCCACTCGCCCGACGAGACTTCTTGCGGTCGGCGTGTGGCGACGAGTCCATCTCATCAGACAAGAAAGGAGACTCCTGAAGGGGCGAGTCGCAGAGCTGGGGAGATTGATCCTCCTCGTACGAGCCTACGGGAGATGACGCGAGGGGCTGAGGCTCGCTGTAGTACGGCGAGTAGCTCGTGTAGGGAACATACGCGGACGCAGAGTGGACGGTTGAACTGCGGCGCGGCACGGCGTGCGACGCGAACGGGGAATAATGTGACTGCGACTCGGAGTCATCGTCCACCAGGTCGTCCTCCTCTTCGTCTTCCACCTCTGTCGACCAGTCACGCTCCCACTCTGGGCGCGCCATGGAGTAGCTGGGGTAACGGTCACGTTGGCGACTGTGACTACGCGAGCGGGGCATGCCGTTGCTCGCGCGCCGCCGCCGACCAGCGGTGGTGCGAGCGCTGGGCGCGTACACTGGAAAGTCGCGATAGTCAGGGTCGTGGAGGTCACCGTTGCGGTCGACGTATGCGCGCGTCTGGCCGCGTTTGTTGTGATGTGGCGCACTGGGGTACGTCGATGAGCCAGAGGACGATGAGCCGCTGGCGTAGACGGGGTCGAGGAGGCGAGAGATGTCGGCGGCGCGAGTGGCGGGGGAGTACTGGGACTGGTGGTGGTTGTGGGGGAGGAGGGTTGAAATATGTGACATTGGAGAATGGGAACGGTGTGGTTGAAGGTGATGTGGCTTGTGTGGGGAGGGCGGTTGGGAGGCCGAAGAGGGGGAGGGGGAGTAGTCGTACATGGTGTGGGAGGAGTGAGGGAGGAGGGGGTTATAAGGCGGAGAGGGGAACAAAGCGCGGCTGGTTGCTTTGGAGGATCGCGATCGGGAGGGAGCGCGGGGGGGAGAGGCGAGGATGTGGTCCGGGGGGGGCCATGGCGGGGGGTGGTTATATAAAGAGAGACGCTGGGAGAGTGGGCGTCTGTCTCCGGAATGGGAGGATCGCTCGGGCGCGTTGCGTAATCCGCTGAGCAAACTGCCTCTGCCTCTCCGCGCCTGCCCGGCAGTCTCCTCGACTTATCGCCCGCACGAGGCCAGAGTCTAGTTGCCCTGCTTGCGCTCAGCATGCCGTGTCTGCACATCTCCCCTGCGCCTGCTTACCCCTCCCTCTCCCTCTCCCTCCCATTTTCTGCTCGTCCCCGTGATCGGCCTCCAATCGGCTGTCGTCCCCCCCTTCGGCATCTCTGCCGCAGCCAATCAGCATCCGCAGCCCAACCCTGTCCGCGAGCATCGCACCTCCTTATTCGGCCGACAACCTCCCTGATATGGCAACGAGGGTGTGACCGCATCTGTGACGTCCACCAGTGTGCTCCCTCCAGTGGCGTCTGAGTCCATGCCCGGCCATGTGTGCGTCCCACTGCTTTCTGGCCTGACTCATGTTCAGCCTTACCAAGCTCCTCATCCTCTCTCCGCAATGACTGGGTTCGCCCCTCGCCGTGCCCCTCAGCCTGGGCGATAATCCGACGCTTCCTCCGACCGCCAGTCCGATGCCTGTCTGGATCGCCCAATGACACCATCCAGCGCGGCCACCCAGCGTTTAGATTGTCCCCTTCTATTACGCCAAGGCCGACAATGACGGGTTGTGTTGTGTATGCCTCCGCTATAGCGTCCTCCCTGACATAAGTGGGTCTATTCACCGTGTTGCATACAGCCTGATGGATGCTGCAGCCACACGGCTATGCCCCCATAACCAATCTTATCTCGTCCGCACGGATAGCGTCCCGGCCTCAAGCTCAGTCAATTTCCGAGATGGGCGTGTTTCCCCGGCAGACCACGCAGCCCGAGTCTGGCTCCACGACAACGTTCATTTCCTTTTGCTTGCCGCAGCCAGATAAATACTTGATCGCATGTAATCTCATTTCTCCGTCAATCCCCCGCTATGCTCAATCTCGCCCGATCTAGGACATCGCACCCCATCGTGCACAGCGTACGGTCATGCCTGGACCGTCGCATGTCCGTGCGTGTGGGGCTTCATTCCAATCTTAGCTCTTCAGATGCTCCTCGCGCCTCGATATCGACGAATTCCCCCGATCGCGGATATCCAAGCAAATTGCCTGCGCTCCAGCCAATCGCTGCGCCCTGCACTCTCATCTAGATGGCCACGAGATACCATCTTCCCTCCGCTTGCTCCTCGCACCTTGGCCTATGGCGCTCATCGTCCAGTGCAGTCTCCGCCCGTTCTCCGCCCGGTCGAAGCCCATCTCCATCTCATTCGTCTGGGCACACCAGGACGCCAGGTCGCAATCACCGACACCTTCCGCATCGAGTACATGCCCCACAGCCATTGGGTCGTGCGCTGGAGCCCTGGAAGACGCACATACCCAATCTACGACCGCTATCTCGCTTCTGGACTCGGCTTGCGCCTCCCTCCGTGCGTCTAGGTGTACTCCGAGCCTCGAGCTCCTCCCTCTCCTCTGCGTCTCGTCTCACCCGATTTCCCGATTTCCATCGAGCCCGTTCGCGCCGGAGCGGAAGAACATCAGCTAGCGGGCTCGGGCGGCGGCGTCCTGTGCGTCCATCCCGGTCGAATTTGGTGATACTGAGACGCGGGCGGCGAAAGAGAAGGATAGAAAGAAAGAAGAACGGGCCGCGAGACACATGCCACACGCGAGCACCTCTCCATTCTCACTCGTCCCAGTGCGACCCCAGACACGAACACCCCCCCGCCCTGCGTGCGACGCGGGAGATGGCCGCTGTTGGCCACTAGCTGACAGTATCTGCGTTCGCAATTGTTGTCCCTGTACACGGGACCTCCCGTGTGGGTATCGCTGCAGGGACGGGCAAACACACCCATGTGCTTCCCACCATCAAATTCAAAATCATACGCCACTTCAGAGTACGGTACACCTTATTTTGCGCGTCCCCACCTCCGCCCCCGAAGTTTGACCACTGCAGCTCCGATGCGCCTTGGATCCCCCGCCACTGTAGTATGCGTTTCGTCGACAATCGCCCGCGCGCAACGGCTCTTCGCGCATCTCTGTTCTCGTCCGACTGCGACGCTCGTTCCTGGAATGTCCGAGGTCTGCTACCCCACACCGATGCGCGCGGGTGCGCCTGCGACAGCCACAGGACTGGAGTAAGGACATCTGTTGTGCGTATCTGCTCTAGCTGATAAGGTCTGCCCGTCGGGCGACACCGTGCCCTGGCTTCGCCGATCTCGACCGCTGCGGGTCTCGCCCAGCGCGAAGGGCAAGTGCGTTCCAATCTCACCAACATGGCACCTTTTTTGACGTTCGGCGACCTCCACGACGGGCAATGCGCACGACCTGCCGGACGGTCGCGCGTGCGGTCTGGGCTGTGGGTGGGCCCGGCCTCTGAGACTCGCCCGGGCGGGGTGCTATACCTACTATCTCGCCAGCTGGCCCGCTGCGTACGCGTAGCAGCGCCACAAGCGCGTCGCGACGCGTTTCGACCGCAATGTTCATGGGTTCTGGTGTACCGGCCCCCGCATAAATTCTCACGTCGTCCGATGCGAGCCTTGCTTCTTTCGTATCCCTAAGTATGCTCGACGAGGGGAGCTCGGAATAGCCCAGGAGTAAGTTCTGGATTATTCAGGGATATTCGCGCGTTTACTCACGGCGGCGTCAAGAACCCTATCACCCCGCCACTTGCCATTTATGGGCAATTTGATCACGCGCCGCGTCGGGATGGCCCGCCTTGAGCGAGAGCCGGATGGAGGCTGGAGACGAGCGGCCGGGGCGCCGCCTGGCGTTTGTGGTGAACACCGGTCTGCAAACTGAAGTGCGGTTTGATTTTGGCTTGAGTTGAGCGGGGTTCGAACGGTCGAGATCGCTGCAACGCTCCTGCTGCCGAATATCTGAATACATATGAAGCTCTCTTCAGATCGTGGAATTGCAGCAAGCGTGTGACCTGTGCGGGTTTGCAAGACACGCTACTATCGATGCGGGTGGCCAGGTCGCAGGGGATGTGTCTATATCCGACTGCGAATCGTGCGAGCGGGGATAGCTGAAGGGGATGGGAAGAACGGAAGGTGTGGAGCATGTGTTTGCTATATCCAGGATTTCGTTTGGCTCGTGTGCTCGTTCTGCTTCATGGGTGTGCGGCGTTTGGCTGATATATATGATTGTCACGGTATTACATGGTACGTTCTCTATCTTCTTTCTTCCACAGGAGCCAGATATTCCGCGCGCGTGGGCCGCGTGAACTGCTGCGATGACGGGCGCTGGGTGGAGGAGACTATAAGCTTCGCACTTTCATCTCGGAGCTTGCCCGACGGACAGTCTTCAAGCCCGTCGTGGCTTGCTCCTGCTCGCTCCGGTGAAACCCCACATGAACACACGAGTCTTCATCGGTCTCTATATTCGCATCGCTCTCCGCGTCTTCGAGTCTTGTTTGCTTTGTGGGCCGAGTACTGTACGAGCGGACGGCCAGAAGTCGGCAAACAGGATGACTCATCCGATTGTCAGCCTTGTTCCCTCTCCACCCTTACTAAGTCCGCCCAGTGCTCGCAGCTGCTTTCCCGCCCACGGTCCGCCATCGAGAGATTCGATTGCCTCAAGACCAGGCTCTATGACTCGACGACAAAGCGCGCGCTACAGTCCGGTGCGAGAGACCGCCATCGATCTCGCCGATGGCTGTCTCTTCACCCCTCATCGCCGCGATCTGCCTGCCTTATTGTCGTGCGCCACTCATCGCAGCACGTTCACGCTCACCTGCACCGTCCGCAGGGCCGCTGCGCGTTTCGCGAACACGTCGTCCTTCCTGCCTCTCTATCCGGGCCCATCTGCCGGGCATGTGCGTCAGCAGGCCACAGACCACAGGCCACACGCGCACGATTGGCGGTGTGCGGGCGGCCATGGGTGCGCCGCGGAGGTGACTCGGATGTGGTGTGACGGTGGCGGGGAGCTGCACGCCCGATCGCCCTTGCTCAGGTGCTTATCTGCCTTTGTGCCGCTCGTCTCAGAGAGTGCTGCGGCGAGTGGGCGTATGCGATCGATGGTGATCGTACGGCTGGAGCACCGGAGATGCCGCCGCAGAACGTGCCCGAGTGGCGGGCCTCGCGATGTCAGTGCGTTCCCGGTGTGGCGCTCTCTGTCTTACCATCCGTCTCGCGCTGTGGTGGCTGAACTCGCTCTACTCGTCGCTGCGTAGGTCCCAGTCGGGAGCGGGAAACCGAGTGGGCCTCAGCGTCGTCCCACTGCTTGGTGCCACCAGAGAGCTGTGGCAACTCAGCTGACAGCTTTGGATATGTCGCCCGCCTTGTTCCCTGCTGGTGTGTCTGACATGCTTTCCTAACCCCAGATATCTGTGCCGCCCATGATCGCACATGCATCGCAGTCCTTCTGCAAGACGGTCAAATTCACACACGCTTTGGCCCAGCAGCGGTAGGGGTCACACTCGGTATTTGTCTTCACAGCACCGGTACAAATCCACTCCGGATACTAGGAACAGCATCTCTGTTTTTTCACTTGCACGTTGCGTCGTGTGTGGGGTGCACACTCCCGTTTCCTGATTCGAGAATCTGATGCATCGGGGGACTCGAACTTTCACCAACACAGCTGACAAGACGTGTGCCCATCTCGGCGTACACGCTGCACTCGGTATCTGCATCCAACTGCCTGCTGCAGGCAGGGGTGCCCCGGATAAAGTGCCTTGTTGTCCACACATAAGCGGTCCAGCTGCACCAGTTCAACGTGGCCGCCCTTCTCTGCTACACCGACGGGTCTAGGTGCGCCCCACAGTTCAGCACGTCAGGCTAAAGTCTCGCCATAGTTACCATATTCCGTAAGGCGTACGGCATGGTGGTCCACATAACATGCATGTTTCAACATTTTATTTCCCTTGATTCGGCCGTGTCCTGCTACGGAATAGATCGAGCACACCGTCAGCGACTTGCCGAGGCGCGCGACGGATAGCGGGATCAATTTTGTCGCTTGCGTCGCATCAGAAGATGCGGCTTGCGACGATATCCAACCCGATTCGAGGTCGGACGCCGATACTCGTTTTATCTGGAACAGGGGCATCCAACTTGCATGAGCGAGTGCCATCCATATTCTGCAAACGGTCCAAGTAGACGCAGCTCCTTTCGGGACGTTGCGGGCTTGCGCGAGCGTCTCATCCGGAACGTGGACAGTCAAATTGCCTTGTGGTCCTCTATCAGGGTTCTTGGAGAATGGTCCATCACGACTCCATTTCAGCGTGTACGCGTACGCTGCGTCCCCCTCAAAATTCATCACAGCTATGTCCGACGAACTCGGAGTATCTGCCATCGCCTGCACTGTGCTCTCCGTCAACGCGGTCTACACATGCACGCCGCGCACCCACGCCGGTCCCTCTTCCCTGTCCCTCGCCCGCACACGAATTTACCCAATTTTTGAGTCGTGTCGTGGTCGTATGTCGATCCTACCACCCTTGGGCGCCCAACAGAGTGATCTAGCCGCGCGCCTAGTGTTTCATGGCCTCGGCAGCCTCGGCGCGGTGCTGCACCTGGTGCGGAATCTCCGGGCGGGGGTCGATTGACTGGATCTGGCCGCAAGTGAGGAATGGTCGAGAGCCGTGCTCGTTCAATTGCGGCCTGGCAAGTGCGGTCTCGGCTGTGGCATCCCAATCGAATGGAGCGTGCGAGGGTGGCCCGCGTCCTTATCTTGTAATCTCGCATACACCAGCACTGTGGCAAACCGCTTCAAGCTCGACCTGCAATCCAGCAGAATAATGTCGTGGCTGCGTAGATAAATGGCAAGTAGCATTGGCCTACGGCAATATGTGACGATCCCCTCAATGAGAGCCGATCACAGACATGCCAACAGGTGTTTGCGGCGCTTCACGGGTTTGCCGAGAAATCGTTTGCAGAACTGGCGGCTCGGAGGTTCAATGCAGCTCGTAGGACCGTAATCACCGGGAGGGCGCTTGTCCGGGTGGCGTACGCGAGATATGGCTACACGAGGGTGGACTCGGATCCTGAGTGCGTAGATCTCTGGTCAGCACGGCCTCATTTACTCTCACTCGAGTAGTCAAGAGCGGCCGGACACGATCTGCGCGGGCAGCTGCAGTCTACGAACCGCGAGCCCCGGCACGGGATCCGAGAGCGTATCACACAGTGTGTGCAACCGGTGCGAGCGATTGAATGCTTTCGCTAATGCTGCTCTGCTCGCCGTGTCCACGCATCCGCTTGGCTGCCACAATCAGCCGCAGAATATCGCATAATTTAGCACGCACGCAGGGTGCGCAGCAGTCAGGCTAGCCACACTCTCCGAATGCATCTGTGGCTCCTCGGATTTACGACATGGGACACACCTTGACCACAAGCTGGGGTATAGCTTCCGTCTGTGGAGAGAATAAGAGCCCCGAGCATGTGCCTGCTGGTTATGACGAAAATGTTCGTCAAAAGCCTTTTGTTCTATCGGTCAGCTGGACGAGTTTGCCTGTAGACACCATGTCGGTTATCCAGCGCTCCGTGGGGTCGATCGCCGAGGACCGAATATGTCAGGGACGGTGATATCCACCAGTAGGATTCCAACTGTAAGTCGCATCGCCGACGAGCGTACGTTCGTGCCCAACCTGCATACACATGGATCTGTTTCACCTCGCGGATAGTCAATGCCATACATGACCCAGTGCAGCAGCACGCTGCCGTTGGTGTTCTGCGTACCGTGCGTTGCCCATCGGATCTTAGAGTGGTGTGCGAAGGGACCCTATCGCCAAATCCCGTGTCGAGGCCGTTCCTTATGGCGAACTCGACTGATGCGTTGTATTGCACATAATCTAGCCCAGATACTCATCTGCGGTCTGCGTTTCTAGTCTCGTTCCTAGACGTGTTTTGGGTACGAGATTGGGCTCATCGATCGAGGAGACCATACGCCTTATAGTAATTGTGGATACTAGTCTTCGTTTGTTTAACATGCAATAGCTGAGATAGACAAAATCAAAACTCCTAGTATGTCATTTCTCTCTGTTTGAAGGGAAAGATGTAGTTACTCAATATTAGACCTCAAACGTTCAACTCACAGGCCAGTTTGACTTAGAACGCATCCTGCGATCCGTGTTATCTCAAGTATAAAAACCGCCGGCGTCCAGCGAGGTTCTCTAGCTCCCCATCTTCCTGCTCGAGCACAATGGTCGGTACTGGTTGGTGCGTAGTCTTTCGTTGAATTTTCTGGCGACGAGAAGAACCTGGAAGATATTCTCTTCTTGAAGCCTAGCTTTTCTTGCGTTCGTTAGTGCATTTTGGTTTTTTACGACATCAACTGTCTACAGTTACACATCTCTTTCGATTCACCTGATTCTATTTATTATGCGCGCTTCTACGTGCGTCATCATTGATGCAGCCGCGGTCCCCGCCCTGTCTTTACATTTCGAGCACGTCTGTACCCAGTTTTCTTAGGTGCTCAATAATACTAAAATGTCTCAGCAGCCGCCTATACAGACGCGACTATGAACAGCCTTCATCAGTACGTCGGATGCATGCGAGCGCACGCAATCACCAAGGGTAAGCCTTCCGATTTATCTTGTACTATCCAAGGCGAACCGGGTCATAAGGTACCTCAGGATCCCAAATCAGTGTAACTGGATCTGATCTGGGGTATTGGTGCTGTTTGGGCTGACAAAAGATCCGACGCCTTTTAACAGGCGCGCGGCTGGGGCAGATGGCACCGTATAACATTCTTGACGGTCGTCATTATCTTGACCATGCGCACTTGGACTGAACGCGCGATAGAACGACTTGAAGTGTATAGTTCTATGGACAGTGGTCGTTACAGATTGGGATGCATTGGCCCTTGGAGTGAAGCTAGTCAGCCAAGACGTTGAGACGGCGGCGCGGGCTCAAATTCTCCCCTTCAACTACTTTGTGGTCGATGAATTTGGTGAAACGAAGTTTTTCCTTCCTTGCCTTCTGCCAGTTTTCGAAATAGCCGTAGGACGGCCGACAAGAACGGCCTGTTCGCTGTCCGTGTCCGCGATCGGCTTCGAGGGCGTCCTCACG